GTACCGGTCCACGGTCAGCAGCACGGTGACCCAGGTGGACGCGTGGTTGGCCGTGAACTCCAGCACGGTGACGGTGTGGATGAAGGCGCTGGGCACTGCCCGCGCCAGGATGGCCGTCTGCAGGATGAAGCCCACGAAGATGATGAAGACCTGGGTGAGGATGTCGGAGGTGGTCAAGGCCAGCAGGTACCAGTAGGATGATTTCTTGGTCCTGGTGGCCAGGCGGGACAGGGCCACGGCGGTCAGGATGTTCGCTGCAGGGAGGGGAGCGTTGGTTGAGGTGAGATCCGGGGGTTCACAGCTCCCCCTGCAGCACCAGGACCCCAGGGCTGCCCAGGCTGCAGCTGAGGGGAGCTATAAATATCCCAGTGCCGTGGGGATTTGCCAGGCTGAATAATCTCTTCCGTGTGCCAGCCCAAGCAACGCAAATGCCATCTGTCCCCGTGGCGTGGCACCTGCCCTGGGCTGGGCAGCACAGCCGGGCACCAGGGCCAGGCCTGAGGCTGGGGGGGAGCAGGTAAAGCCCCTCCATCCTGAGGACTTTCATTCCAGCCCCCCAGCCCTCTCACCTGGCAGCCCCAGCCCCAGCAGGACGCTGTAGTACACGATGGGCACGATGCCAACCAGGCAGGGTGAGCGCTCCAGCTCCGGCTCTGGCAGTGCCCACGACACTGCCGTGCTGTTGGGCACTGGCACCGTCATCTTCCACCACAAATCGGCTGTGAGGAGACACAGGAGCACCAGTGACATCAGATCCTGATGGCACCGGGGGGAGGTCAGCTGTGACATGGCACAGGGGGCTTGGGGACAGGGGCCATCGCCTGGGTGTCCCTGCTGTGGCTGGATCCCAGATCCCTTGTCCTGCAGCATCCCAAATGTGCCACCTCCGGCAGACCTGGGGCTGCTGCACCCATGGGAGACAATGCACCTCAAGCCCCCTGTGCCATGTCCCAGCAGAGCTCCCGCTGCCAGAGCTGCTCCTTCTTTATCCCTCAGCCCCGTTTTTGTAGAAAACTGGATTAAAACATCATGTTCTGGGGCAGCTGCCAGCAGAGGGAGCCTCTGGCGCCCAGCCCGGGCTGGGTGCCACCCGACGGCTCCCAGTGGTGGCAGAGAGGACCCAGAGGTGCCGATGGGTGGTCTTAGTGGTGCCAAGTGTGCGGTGGCCATTTCCAGACTGCCAGCTGGGTCCTTTTCCAGCTCCTCAGGTTGAGGCAGCGGAGCTGGAGGAGCCCTGCCCATGGCCCCGCCCGGATCCGGATCCTGATCCGTATCCGCATCCCTATCTGTGCCCCATCCCTGCCCTATCTGTGCCCCATCCCTGCCCCGGTCCCTGCCCTATCTGTGCCCCATCCCTGCCCTATCTGTGCCCTGCTCCTTGCCCCATCTGTGCCCCATCCCTGTCCCGGTCCCTGCCCCATCCCTCGGCCCTCTCCCCACGCCGCCCTCGCCCATTCATAAACCAGGGCGGCTCCACCCCCTCCCGAGCTCTGCGCTCCTATTGGCTCAGGGGAGCACGTCCCCACCCAATCAGAGAGGGGTTCCACGGGAGGGGTGAGGCCAGAGCTGAGCGCTGCGTTCTGATTGGTCAGAATACACCCCCCAAATTTGCATCCCATAGGGACCACCGAGGGCCACCCTCCGTCCCAGTGCGGGATGATGGGGGGCGGTCCTG